AGCAGGGAATCACCCATCTTTCTCTTCTACCCGGTTGTGTTATTTTTAGGTCAGCATAGGAATTTCTTTGCTCATGAGAGCCACATTAATTCTGCAAATAACTTTAAGAAAGAAAGGAGAATAATAGCAACAGAGGTAGAAAAATACACAGTACCAACTGGGAATTTCAGTGGGAGGAGTTAGACAACTTCATAACTTAATTGTGTATTAATGACTTCTGTCTCAGGATATGTTTCATTCTTTTTGTTTGTTTTCCTTGCTTCTGTTTGTGGAAGTTGCTAAAGAACACAGATGGGAAAGGAACAAAGTGGAACCAAGCTTTTTATTTTTGATAAGGCCTGGAAATTAAGACTGTTTTTATTTGTTAACATCCACAATATGGGCAGCTTTGTGTTAGAGAGCTGCCTGGGTGAAAACTTCAGGTTTTAGTCTGTGTGGTTTCAGAAGTGCAAGCAGAATAATGGTAAATGTCACTTGCTCACTCAGCAGTCTCGGTAATGCAGAGCATAGTGTTTTGTTTAATTTCTTGGTAATGTAATGGTAAATATAAATATTCGGCATTTTCGTCTTGACTACTGAAATATAAAATGTAGCAGGATTTAGTGGTTGTTTACCTTACTCTTAATCAAAATCAAGACTTACTAATTTTGCTAAAAATTTGGCTCTGCATTTCCTTTCTAAAACGTCTTTCCATTTCTTAAAGAAGAACAGCTATTTCCTCTGTGACGGAGACACTCTGCTGGCAAGTTGGAGTTGTCTCAGAGGAGAGTGTAATATAAGGCAACAGGCACTGCTTATGTAAACTTTTCTTGCAGAGATACCACTTAGAAAGCGTAGCAAATCCTGCCTTGCCCCCTTGAATGAACAAGCTTTGCAAAGCACTGACTATTTCTTAAAGCCTGTTAAAATGATTTTATATCCTAATTAGCATTACAGATTTCAAGAATACTAACTTATTTTAGAAGAAAGCTTTTTAATGGTGTGTTTTTACACAAAGATGCATACACTTGTCTGCATTTAGAAAATTTTAAAAAGAAAGAAAAGAAAAAGGTGCACTGGTGTAGTAATAATTAATCCAACCTGCCTGGTGTCATACATGGCCTGAGCACCAAGGGCAGCTTGGTTGCTGCATTGTTATATTTTGGTTGTGCTTTTGTGTTCTAGGAGTTCTGTTTCCTTACCTGCTTGTTTTTTACACCTCTGCCAGTGAGCCAGAGCCTTAGTATTATATTTGCATTGTTGCAGATATGAGTAAGTTTAAAACATACAGGCAGTTTAGAATTAAAGTAATTTTAAAGAGGCCTTAGCTGCTAAAACCAGTTTTTTCCTTTTTATTTAAAATTTAGTCTGTATACTTGGAACTGAACAGCTTTTTTCTCCCTACTCTGTAATCATATTTATAGAAAAATTGAAGACTGGCCAAGACTAGCAATCACATGATAACACAGCAGCTTTTATTAGATACATCTGGAAACTTACCTTGCAAGTAGAGTGCTTTTAACTCTGCACAGGTGTTGAGCCACTGCTTGGCCTGTTGTGCTGACAACTTCAGAACCTGTTCCCATCACTGTTCTCTGCAGCCATGCCATCTATGTTTGACTTGGAACTGCACATGAGCAAACTTGTGAAATTTTAAGGAGAGGGAGACTTTTCTGTTTGGTTTATTTGTGTTGTTTTGGAGGTTTTTTGTGTGTATGGGTTTTTTTGTTGTTCTTGGGTTTGTTTGGTTGGTTTTTGTTGTTTTTTTTTTTTTTAAAGTTCATCTTGAGCAAATTATTACCATATGTTTCAGATGCTTTATTTGATATGCTAGTCTTTTGAGACTTTCCACAATTACTAAATTTTTTAAAGCAGTTTAGACAATGTGTAAAAACATTCATATCACCTAGGATTCCTTTCTCTTTTCCTTTTTAAACGGTGGATCTAGGTTTAAAAGTACTGTAGACAGTAACACTACTCAAAGATAGAAAATAATACTGATGACAAAGCAGAGAAATTAATAGTTAGACTTCCTTAAAAAAACCTAATGCTTCCAGTTAACGCACTGTTAGGCATGGCAACTTACTCCATTTTAAATTAACACAAGACTTAGTCAATGCAGTGGTGCTTGCCTTAACTAGTTAGGTTTTGACACTTAGTAGCTATCAGCTTTTCTTGGAGGTGCTAGGAGTCCATACCTGGATCACAGTGGAAGGCAGGGCATCCACAGCTCCTTCCTGTGTGGTTCTGTAAGCTGTGCCACCAGGGCAAGGTGCTGAGCCCGGGTGCAGTGCATTTATATGCCCTGAAGAGCGTGCAGCTTGAGATGACAGGCATGATTTATCTGGATGTTTCTTTTTTCAGCCAGGTCCTTCTTTCTGACTTAATGAAAAATGAGCTTAATCTTTCTTCCACACTCTCCTTTTTGTTTGCTGCTTCTTCACTCACAGCAAGGAAAATAAAAGATAAGGAAGAAAGAGAAAAATAAATACGCTTAATAAAAGAGAAAGCTTATATTCCTTTTATAAGATACATTACTTTTGTCTGGGGGAGGAAGGGTGGTTCCCTGTGCGTGGAAAACACCATTTTTAACTTGCAAATTTTTACTGTCCTGAGACTAGCAGTTGATACAGGTGTACTGTGAAGGACTTTCACATGAGTGTTTGCTCTGAAAGATTAACTCTCAAGTGCAGCTTTTGTTGGGAGACCCAAATAATAAAGTAGTGCTGAAAATCAGCGTGTTGCAAGAGGGAGGTGAGGTGGAGTGCAAGATGAACAAGGCACACCTTGTGGGATGTGGATGCTGTGTGGGATGTGTGGCTGCTTGACAAGGAGCACTGGCTCCTGCTCAGCCCAGATCCTGGGGGTACAGTGGTAGGAGTCAGTGCTCCCAGGAGCTCTGTGGTGCCATCACTGTGCCTTCCTGTAGCTGTGCCTGCCCTGTCACACACAAGGGTATACAGCTCCTGCACTGGGTTCCTGGGCCCAGGACAGGCCAGGCACACTGGGACCCCAGAGATGCTTCAGAATGCCCTGAAGTCAGGGTCTGTGTCCCTCTGCAGAACAGTCTGCCATGCTTCCAGTGGTGCAGGAGAGTTGTTTCCAAACCCTCCTTGTTTGTATATTGACATACCAGGTGGAGCATGTCAGAAGCACTGCTTGTTTTCATGCAAGGTATTTTCATCACCTCTAAGAGCAATTAATTTCTGTAGCCTGCAAGTTCTTCAGATGACTACTCATAATTTTTTAATGCTCTCTGGCCCCCAGTGGTTTTGGTGGTTGTGTGTTTGTCTTCACTGAAGATGAAAGCTTTGCATCACAGAATAGGTGGTGCCAAGTGAGCTGGAGGAGAGCAGTAGATCCTGGTGCTGAAGAAGTACTATGTGTTGGCCATCCCACCCCACCCCCCTGAGATTGTTGTCACACTTGGCATACCTCTTTAAGTAAACATTAGCTTTGTAAATGGCATTGGTTTGGTATTTAATGGAATGCAGGAACTATGTCAGCAGTAATTATACAGGTAGGATGCAAGTGAATTGACAGGAGGGTTAAAACAGATTAAACCTTCAGTGCATATTTATGTCCAAGCGTTCTGGGTACTGTGATAACAATGGCCGTGTTATATACACTTCACACTTGCTTCTTTCACCACTCAGGACTATGAGTCCAGTTGCTTTGTGGGTGACTTGGTTATCTCCTCGTTTTCAGAGAATAAAAAAATGGCTGTGGAGTTTATGTAGTGATAAAATGAACAACAATGGGAGTTTGTTAGGGATAGGACAGGGAGGGGGTGGTTTCAAGATTTTGTCAAAAGTAATTTCTAATTGCAGGATGTTTTTTTAATGAGTAGGCACATGTCCTTTTCTTTGATGTAGAGAGCAAAGACAGCATGGGGAAAACCAAGGCCATGGGCAGATGTGAAAAACTCCTAGTGTGTGTAATATTCTCAGTGACAAAATCTGACTGCCTCAAATCCACTGGTATTTTGCTTCTGGGAGACCCGTGCTTTGGCTGGGAGCTGGACCTATAACTACAAGGAACTTGAGGTTGAGTGAAACTGTGTGTCACTTATTGAATGCAGAGTGGACATGACCTGTCATGCTGCAGAGCTCACATACCAAATATTTAAAAGGCAATAGGCTTTGTTGATGTGTTGACCAAATGTTGCTGCACAGGCCTTTCTGCTTGCAGCATAGCTTTGGTTGTATTTTAATGCAGTGTTTTATGTGAGAAACCCTTGTTTAGCTGAATTTGGGATTTGGGAACTTAAGAAAAACAAGAAATCATAGCACTAGAGTGTGGGTAGGAAAAGACAGTGCTTCTGCATTTTTCTTCAGGGCAAACTGGCTGTGAAGGGGGTCTAAAAGTGTCAGAAGTGTTGAACCTGTTTCAGGTCTTGCTCCTCTGAACCTTTCTCCCATTCAAGGAGCAGTAGTTTTCCTTTTCAAACAATCTATTTCTCATAACAGCTTTGAAAAATACCAGTGAAAGTTTAGAAGGCAGTGTGATGAAGATTCACACACAGGTATTTGAGTGGCATGCAGTAATAAGTTATAAGTAGTGGATATGAAAGGTGCTGCTTTTACATTTGATTTCTACTTAGGTCAGATTTAACCTTTCCTTGTCGCTGATTTTTTTAAAATGTTGTTTATTTAACAGGACTTTTCAGTAAAAATGAAATTGTATTAGGCCATTGAAATATTTTTTGCTGGACAATGAAAAGGTTTTCAGAAGGCTGTTACCTCAGCTGCCATTCTACTGTCTGCCCATGTGAGATTTCAGTTCTCATATTCTTTAAACTTCCAGTGGCCTTACTAGCCAGAAACTGGTAGAAGGTCACTGTGGCCAAAATGGCCTTTTGTGGTGATAGGTTTTGACACGCTGTGGGTTTATTTTGTACTTAGCAGGTTCTTGGTATTAGGGGGTGAGAGGAAAGAGGACATCCCAGTGCAAGAAGAATGCTAGTTCTTAAGCTTGCAGCAGTCAGTAAATAATCTCTGTTTTATTCCTCTCCTTTCCAGGTGTGACATCTGTTGTATCACCTTCCGTACTCATCGGGGCTTACTGCGCCATAATGCAGTTATCCACAAGCAGCTTCCCAGAGATCCCATGGGAAAGCCTTTCATTCAGAACAACCCTTCAATTCCAGCAGGCTTCCACGACTTGGGATTCACGGACTTCTCCTGTAGAAAGTTCCCCCGCATTTCTCAGGTACTCTCTCTTCGTGGTAGCTTTAGGTGCCAGCTGCTACAGTGCTTATCTGATAAGGTCATTGGAGGATTCATCCTGCATGTAGAATATTTTCTGGAAGGTACACCACCACAGTTTGTGTAGACTTTAAACACTTCATGCCTCTCCCTTTTCTTTTTTCATCTAAAGAATACTGGCACTGGGTAATGTGCCAATAACATTACAGTTATCCACTGTAATGGTTTTTTCACCATTACAGTGGATAACTACCAGTGTAAAGATGTATAAAAATTCTGAAGGAAAACTTTGGTCATGTTAGATCCTTGCTCCTTTGAGCACAGTCAAAAAATCCTACATCTGAAATCAACAGGGAGTACACACGGTAAGGAAGACAGTATTTATTATAGTTTACTCTAACAAGGATGTAGTTGGTGTATGAAAGTTTTTAATACAAAAAACTTTGAGCAGTCACCTTACTAACTAAACAGTGACATCTTCTGTGATTCCCTCACAAAACACTCCATAATGTTCCTCATGTAAGGTTTGAGGGACAGTGGATGGGGAAAGTCAGGGAGGTGGTCTGTAAATGTTTTTCTGAGAGCCATAAACCTTTCTGTTGAGTGGTATGATTCCTCCCTCTGTCAAACCTTGCCTGTCTTAGTGTGGGTCTGGATGAAGCTGCATTATCTATTAAAAAATCAACAGCACAATCCACCAGGATCGTGCTTAGTTTCTGGACTTTTCTTAATCTTCTGGGTTTCAAACATTTATTTTCAACTCTGTTGACTGCAAAGTGGTAGACTTGAAATTTGCTGCTGGACCAGGGGAGCACATAGATCTTTCTGTCAGTCTGTTACCGTTTTAGTATAAAACTTAAAAAATCAAAAGAAAGAACTTTTAAAACAAAGTTTATTTCTTTTGTAATTAATGACAGACATTTAAAGTTATTAAGGGATTTGAATGTTGGTATTTTCCTTTTGTAATAATTTTGCTTGCACTGTGAGAAAAGATTTATAAAGTATTTAGAGTCTGTAAAGATCTTGCCAGCCCTGTACTAGTATTTTTCTTGGGAGAATAGATGTAATCAGACTTCCCTAACCAAAAACCACTCTGCTTTAAGCTCTGAGTTTAATTGATCTGCTTTTGGGGGATTTTATTTTGGTTGGCTTACATTGGCTTAGCTTCTTCGATGCATTTTTTTTTTTCTTTTCTTTTTTTCTTCCTCCTGGTTTCTTTGTAGTAGAGCTAAATGAGATAGTCTACTGCCTGGCTTCTTGCTGTATGGTATGCTGAGGCTCCTGTCCTGTCAATGACACAAGAGAAGTTTCTGGTGGGGAAATTTAGGATGGAAAAGAATTTGAGAGCCTGAATAGCTTTCTGAAGGAGTTTACCTTTATAGAAGGGAACTTGTGAAGGAGTTTACCTTTATAGAAGGGAACCTGTGGAGAATCAGCCCCTAATTCAGATACACGCCTAAAGGCTGTGAAGCAGGAATATCTCCATGCCAGGTAGGTGAGGGCTGCTCTAAACCTCTTAGTCAGTGGAAGAGAGAGTGAACTGTTTATGTTTTGCAGCAGTGTGTGATGCCTTTCCAGTTTGAGATTCCTACTCTAAATATTTTTGCATGTCTTGCAGGTCTGGTGTGAAACAAATTTGCGAAGGTGCATCAGTGACTTCCATCGATTTATTTGCGAGATGTGTAACAAGGCATTCCCCATGCTTTCAGCACTCAAACTGCACACAGAAACTCACGTGGTGGATCAGGGAAAAGACAAGCACAAGCCACAGTCCACAACCCCACCCAGTGAGAACCCAGACCAGAAAGCCTTCATGGCATCCTTGGGCCTACAGTACACCAAAGACATCAAGCCTGTCAAACAGGAGGACAATACACAAGATGAGGTCCAAGAAATGCGGCTCAGAGCTCTGAAGAGTAACCTACCTCAGGAACCTGGCAGCACCAGTCTGCTCAGCCTCTCTCCTCTGGAAGCTGCCTCCATGGGAGGGTCATTTTCAGTCCTTCCCCCTACAAAAGAAAACATAAAGCTTCTCTCACTGCAACCTTTCCAGAAGGGTTTTATTATCCAGCCTGACAGCAGTATTGTGGTGAAACCCATCTCCAATGAATCTGCCATTGAGCTGGCAGACATTCAGCAGATCTTGAAGATGGCTTCTTCTGCTCCTCCTCAAATCAGTCTTCCTCCACTTTCTAAGGCACCTTCTGTTCCTGTGCAGTCTATTTTTAAGCATATGCCACCACTGAAGCCAAAGCCTTTGGTAACACCCCGAACAGTTGTCGCAACCTCTACACCTCCTCCTCTTATCAGTGCCCAGCAAGCCTCCCCTGGCTGCATCAGCCCAAGTCTCCCACCTCCCCCGCTGAGGCTGATCAAGAACTCTGTGGAGTCTGCCTCCAACTCTCATCTCCCCCAGCCAGGAGCCAAATCAAGTCCTTCCTCACAGTTGCTCCTCCAACCCAAAGTAGAGCCTTTAACTCAGCATGAGATGAAGACACAGCTGGAGCAGGACAGCATCATTGAAGCTCTCCTGCCTCTAAGTATGGAAGCCAAGATCAAGCAAGAAGTCACAGAAGGAGACCTCAAAGCCATCATCGCAGGGGCAGCGAACAAGAAGACCCCAACCATGAGGAAAGTTTTGTACCCCTGCCGTTTCTGTGACCAGGTGTTTGCCTTCTCTGGTGTCCTGAGAGCTCACATCCGTTCTCACTTAGGTATTTCCCCGTATCAGTGCAACATCTGTGACTACATCGCGGCTGACAAGGCAGCGCTGATCCGGCACCTGCGGACGCACAGCGGGGAGCGGCCTTACATCTGTAAAATCTGCCACTACCCATTCACAGTGAAAGCCAATTGTGAGAGGCACCTGCGAAAGAAGCACCTCAAAACAACCAGGAAGGATATTGAGAAGAACATTGAGTATGTCACCAGCAATGCCGCAGAGATGGTGGATGCCTTCTGCTCCCCGGACACGGTGTGCAAGCTGTGTGGAGAGGACCTGAAGCACTACCGGGCCCTCCGCATTCACATGAGGACGCACAGCGGCTGCCAGAAGAAGAAGCCGTTCGAGTGCAAGGAGTGTGGCACGGCCTTTTCGGCCAAGAGGAATTGTATTCACCACATCCTCAAGCAGCACTTGCACGTGCAGGAAAAGGAGATTGAGAATTACATCTTAATGGTGGACTGTAGTGCCCAGGAAAGCCAGACAGACCCTTCTTTATTGGAGGACAGCACTTATATGGACCACAAGCCCATGACACCTTTCCTGGAGCCACAAAACGGCTTCTTGCTGGGAACATCATCTCACGTTTCCATCAAACGTGAACCTGTGGGCAACTTTCCCATGGATTTTGATGAGCCATTGGATTTCTCTCAGAAGAGCAAAAGCCTGAGTGCTGTGCAGGTGAAGCAGGAGAACCTGTTCAGTTCATCTCTGTCCCTTTATGACTGTTCCATGGAGCCTATTGACCTGTCCATCCCCAAAATCCTGAAGAAGGATAAAGATGATGTCCCCTGTGAAGCCAGGAATCAAGAGCTGGCTGCTTCTGGGAACAGTGATAAAGCCTATAACTGTCTGCAGTGTCCTTTGGTTTTTGGTGCCAACGGGAACTCAGAAACAAACCGGGGTGTCAGACATCCCCAGCCACTGAAAGGTTCGTTGCATTTGACTGTCCCGATCATTTCCCCGGCTCTCCCTGGCAATGCTGCCTTGCTGAGACCCCTGAGGCCTAAACCACCACCACCACCTCTCTTGCCAAAGCCTTCAGTAACTAAAGAGCTGCCACCATTGGCTTCCATTGCACAGATCATTTCATCTGTGTCTTCTGCTCCCACTTTGCTGAAAACAGAGGCTGCAGACGCCAGTCCCAAGGCAGTGAGCGGCTCCGCTGGGTGTGACAAATCAGGGAATGCCAAAGCTAAAGTGACAATCTTGACCACCGTTCAGAGAGATGCCAGCCTGCCCAGTGACCTGTCTCAGGCTTGTGATCCAGAGCAGACTCCCGTTGCTGATGCAGGGTTGACTAAGAAAAGAGGTAGAAAGAAAGGAACGAAAAATAAGCCCAAACTTAGCAGTAGTGTGGATCTGGAGTCAAGTGGGGAATTTGCCAGCATAGAGAAGATGTTGGCTACCACAGACACTAACAAATTTAGCCCATTTCTGCAGTCCACTGACAATTTCAAGGAAGAAAGTGGCAGAAATGGAACAAGTGAGGATGAGAAGGAAACTGCCAAGGATAAGCTGCTGAGAGGGAAGAGAAATGCTTACTCAGACTGCCTGCAAAATATCCCCTGTCCTTACTGTCCTCAAGTCTTTCCATGGGCGAGTGCCCTGCAGCGGCACATACTCAGTCACGCAGGTAAGGGTGCTCTGTGGTCACAGTAGGTTGTAGCCCCTGAGGTTGCTCCCCATAGAAGGGCTCTCCATGGAGCAATCTTCTTTCTCTGGTGTCTGAATTGTATTCTCCTTTATTATTTTGCTAATCCCTAGCTGTTGCTGTTGCACAGTGGTGGATTCCAGAAATGGAATAATCTCTGTTTCTTTGAGTATCAGAGGGTAAATAAAACCGTTAGTACTCATTTGACTTCAGTGGAATAATTTAGTGTAGCTGGAAAGAGGCTCAGGTTTCAGTTGTTTCATTATTATTGTCTTGTCTTGAAGGGGAACATGTGTGTTAAATATTTAATTGTGCCTTACATGGTTTATTTGTCTGCTTCTGATGGCTGTTTGTTGGCATCAGTAATGATAAAAAAGATCTCTAAAAATGAGAGACAATAAGTGTAGAACTGGGCAGGAAAATAAAATAATATAGTGCTTAGCATTTTTTTTTTCTTGCGGTGGCTTTTATTTAACAGATCAAAGGAGGATGTGAGAAATGGCTCATCCTCAGCATTATGTAATAGCTTGCCTCTAGGAAAAGTTTTTCTTCAGTGATAGTACAAGTTAAGGTGGGCACATGCCGTAAGGCGTGGAGATGTGTATGGAATCTCTAGCACTGTGCTGCTGTGTAAGTAACCTCAGACCTGGTGTAAACAAAAGGAGGAATTGGGTAGGGAGATTTATTCTAGGTCTGGGGTTATTTTTTGTTTTTCACTATAAAGGAAATACTGTATTGAATGCTGTGCTGATTTGATGTTCCCTCATTCTTCCACCTACACTGTAATAAAGTAATTAGAAGATTCTCATCCTGCTCTGGAGGGAGAGGGCAAAGCTCTGATTGCTGTTGTGCCCTTCAAAGTCAGTCACAGTTGTTGATATTATTTACTTCCTTATGCATCTCAGCTCCTGGCATAAAGACTAAAAATCAGGGATTTTTGTAAGAAACATAGGGGATTTGAGTATGCCCTTAGAAAAGTTAGCTTTTTTTTGGGTGGTTTTGTGGTTTTTTTTTGGTTTTTTGTTTGTTTGGTTTTTGTTTGTTTGTTTGTTTTCCTTTTTTTTGTTTGTTTTGTTTTTTTGGGGGTGTGGGGGGTTAAGAAAATGAGGTTTCCTGAAGTGACTGATTCATATCTGTGCTAAAGAGGGAAACCTGAAGAGGTAAAAGAGGTTAGCTAAGGGGTTTAAAGGGAATCTGAGCTGTGGAGCAGTCCCTATTACAGTTTGCTTTGGGTGACATGAGGACATAACTTGAAAGGTATCAGTACAACAGTGAAGCTATTGTTTTCAGGTCCACAGAGACCAAATTATTTAATGTTATTAAGCATACAGTTTACTTTGTGGTGAAGGAGAACGCTTTACTCATATCTCAATTGTTTTCCAACACCCTGGTCTCCAGAAAAAATACATAGTTACTGAAGAACTGTTCATGAGACAGAAGACAATGGAGAGGCTTTTCCCAGACTAAGAGGTTTGACCTGCTTATTGATGGCAGACTTCCAAGGTAGCAGCACTGGTGTAAACCCTTAATGAAGACAGGAAAATTCACTCAGCCATGAATTACACTGGTAAAACTTGTCTCCTTTACGACCACCAGGCTTGGAAGGAGGCACTGTCCTTTTAGAAAGCCTGTGCTGGAATCCCCACAAGGAGAGCAAGCAACTGTGGCCATAAAAGGACTAAATCCTCGCCGCAGATACAGGATTTTTGGTAATACTACAGCAGTGGCATAATCACATTCCAGTTGGTGTGTTCTGGCACTGATAATACTGAACTCTTTTCTCATCATCATCTGGGTGTTGAGAGAGACTTGCTGCTGGAGGACCACCCCACAGCAACTTTGGCTGGCCTTGGGGCATCTGCCTTCAGATGGCATGAGTCTTTTCTTTCTAAACTGGTAGTTTCTAGCAGCTCCCCTGTCACAGCAGTGTCCATGAGGTACTGGAGGGGAGGGGGAAAGCTAAGCTGGGACGGTGGAGGAAATTTAGGCCAGGGAGGTGGTGCCAAAGCAAGCCTGAGGATGCATTCAGGTGGAGCAAGCCCTGTGTTTTTGTGGTGGGTGTCAGGTGCTGGTGGCATGCAGGGAGTTTGGCAGCTTTGTGGTAGATGCAGCAGTTTGTTGGCTTTATCTGCTGGATGGGCAAACTGGTTTTCTTGTGGAGAAATCTACAGTGTTGTAGTACAGCACAATGTTACTATCCCCACCTATTGCACAGGCAGATAGCTTGTAACTTGTCAGATAGCTCTGTTTTTCAAACTGAGTTAAGGATAAAAATTATTTGCTAATCTTTGTGAAGAGAAAAAGGGAACTGTTATTGTCTGTATTTGATGGCTGCTCCCTGACCTGGGTAGAGAAAGAACGAACAGGCTGACATGACTGGGATAGATGAGATTCCTGATGATCTGCTTCCAAACTGCGTCTATTGGATATGTGATCCATAGGCAATCACAGCAGGCAATCTGACTGTTTAACACTACTATCAAAAAAAAAACCCAAAAACCCAAAGCAGTTGTTTGAGCTAAAAAGCAGCACCTAGCTCTTCTGTGTCTGTTTGTAGGAAGGTTGTTATTGAGGTAATTCATGTAAGTGGTCTAAGTTAGGATGAGGAAAAGGTATATAATTCTGAGCATTTAAGTGCTATCTGTATAGTACGAGTTTTGAATTGCTCTATCCATACAGACATAAGAAGGTTTTTGCAAGTCTGTCATTCATGTTCAATAAAATTTCAACACAGAGGCCACCTTCTATGTGGTGTCAAGGTCTTATTTCCCTTTTGTAAAAGTGCAAAAATGCACATGGTACCAGTGACGCACATCCCTCATGCAACCAGAAGTATCTCTTGTGGAAGCTTTTGCCCTGCTTATCCTTGCTTCAACACCACTGTGTGTTTGGGGTTTTTTTTACATTCAAAAACATTTCCATGAAGAAGCATACACCTTCCTCATTGTTTTTTTGTTGTAATGGTGAGCTCACAAGTGGGACACTGGGAATTTGGCATAGCTTGGTTTTATACAGTGCCTAATACAGTAGCTGTGTTTTGTTTGAACATGCTTGAACACTTGCTTTTAATACTTTCTTTCTTTTGATGTCTTTAATGTATAATTTACTTTTCTATGTTCAACACAGTTTGCTGCTTTTTTTTTCTCTTCCCTGCTGCTCTTGACTTCTTAAATTCTCAGAATCATGACTAAGATGTGCCCTGCAGGTGATGCAGTTGGTTTTGCTCCTTTGTACAGGATGCGGATCGGACTAAGTTCAGTATAAAATTACAGTAATGGTGGTTTTTAACCACCCGTTTGTTATAGATAACCTAATCTGTTTGCAGAGAATCACTTGAGATTATTTTCAGAGGGTTACTGGCAGATCTTACTTGGCCCAAGATTAAATTTTGTAAAAAGTGAGATTTAATAGCAGAGAGGGTTTTTTGGTTTTGTTTTTTTTGCTGCTACAACAGGAACAAATCATACAAGGAAATATCTGTAAACAAAATAAAGGAATAAATAAATAGAAAACTCTTACATCTAGCCCATGAACTTTAATGATTCCTGTTGATCGGAGGTCACAAGTCACCAAAAAAAAAGGACTTTGAGGCATTTTTATTCTTTGCTTTTATGATTTAAGTCAAAGTAAAATTGTAAACATCTTTACTTTGCAACATTTGTAGTTGCCATGGTGAATAATGTGTTTCTGCTAAGACAGCAGTGGCAGGAGATACCTTGAGGACTGATCTTACATGCTTTGATTATTCAGGTGACCCTTTATACTGAAAAAGACACTCTTCAAATGACAGGCTACTATGAAATGTCCAGACTAGGCTAGTCATGCTGTGCTGCTAACCAAAATTTGCAGTCAGTCCCAAGTCAATATTTAGGCACAGATGCGCTTTAATACAGGTCATGACTATTCATACGGAAAAATTTAATAAAAAAATCAAATCACATTGACTTTTTGGGTTACCTTCCAGTGATTAAGTGTATTTTATCAGAAGAGCAGTTGCCTTTAAGGGAGAAATACAGAAGGCAGAGAAAACTGCTTTTTTTGAATGTTCTGGTTTTGTGCCTTTAAAGGTGACATTTTTGGAAAGCATTGCAGCTTCGGGTGGGAGGGTTGGAGTTTGCGCAGTAAGTGGAATTTTTGTTTGGGTTTTGAGACCTCCAGCTAGGACATCTGTGTGGAAAGAAGTATATTTTATCTGTTGCAAATATTGGTCTGTATGACAAATATTTGATTGATACAAACATTTTAAAGGCTGAAAATATGAGAAAATTATGACCTGAGATGCAGGTTGAGTTTCAAGTAATTAATCCTCAGCTAATCCTGTCATTGCATGCTTGAAAAGAAATGTGGAAAGGAATTGGGCTACCATGAAGCAAAAGGATTTCTGCTTGACTTTGAAGTTTTGTATTTGCATTGTGAATGAAGCCAGATAGAAGTGCAAAAAACAGTGATATTTGTAGCCATAAATTTATGGGCGAATTAGCTGGCATCTAAAAGGAAAGAGTGACTTGAAAGCCTACAAAAAAGCAGTACTGTGATACATCAAAAAAGTTGTGTTGACACTGGAAGAAAATGAAGAGAAAGAAACAGCTCCTGAGATGTCTGTGAGATGCAGGGAATCCCTGGTACAGGTTGAGATGTTAACTAAAACAGAACCAACTTTCAGAAGATGAAAGTGAGAGAGATACCCACAATGTTGTGTCAAAGAGGCTGCTGGCTGTGGCAGGGGGTGGGTGGTGTGCTTGTGTTTTCAGAGGTTTTGGGTGTTAGGTGGAAGGCGTGACAGGAGCTGATCTCTTTTTGCAAGTAACTATCCTCTCAATTTCTTTCTTCACCACAAAGATATCTTGCGAGATTGTCTTCCTCATTGCACTGCATGATCCTGGCTTTTCTTTCAACTTTTCCTGTGCTTAGTCCCTTCCCTGTTCTAGTCATTTAAATGAATTACAGACATGAAAAACTTTCTCCTAAGGGAAAATAATTTA